GTTGCCGTCCTCCGCGACGACGAGCTCGACGTCTGGGCCACGCTGGTCCTCCAGCACCAGCGGTGGCACTGTGAACACAGGCGGGCACGGGGCAGAGGTGTTGTTCATGTGGACGTTCCTCGTTCGGATAGAGACGTGCAAGAAAGGCAGGTTGTAGACAAACCGGCAGAACCCATACTCAGGCAAGATGGTATACACGGAATTCTCAAGGGGCACCTCTCTGAACTCGTCGTCCACCCTGTCGGCCGCCTTCACGTCTATTCGAATCGGGTGGTCCTTGTCGAACTCGTCGCGGAACTTCCGCTTGAAGATCGGGCACTTCAGCAGCAGGTGGGGCGTGTGGAGGAAGCGCCCGAACTTGCCGCTCGGCACAGGCACTGCCTGCGGCACCATCAGCGGGGGTGGCCCCAGCGGCGTCAGCACTGGCGAGCTGAGGTTCGGGTCGCTCCATCGCACAGGGTGGGTGTTGTCCACCTTGTAGACGGGATATTGTCCCCATCGTACTTAAGGGCCACATTCCAGACATACTTTCGAGCACCCAGAAAATACCAAAACAGTATCTGCCCGACACGATGGCAAAGTGTCGAACGAGTATCGCCTCCCAAGGCCCGACACGTGCACCCCCCCCAGTTTCGGTGCTCTCACTTTGTGCTCGACACTCTTCCTGGTGGCCAAGGCGAAAGCAGGTTGGAACAGCACAACCCTAAGAGCAATTTAGAACGCTCTCTGGAAGGATTTTGTCCCTGGAGGGGGGACGACAGAGAAGCAAAGAGGGCATTTCGAGGGACCCAATGGCTCGGGAAGGCTGCCGGGGCGCGACGACTCTCCTGCATGGACAGCGACACTGGATCCCACCCTCCTCCACCTCGACCCCCTCGTCGATATCACGGAACCTCCTTCCTCATCCTCTCTCCTCACCCTGTCCCTCTCCCTCCTCCTCCTCCTCCTCCTCCTCCTCCTCCTCCTCCTCCTCCTCCTCCATCTCCTCCTCCTCCTCCTCTGCCTCCTCCTCCTCCTCCCCCGCCCGGACCTTGCCCCTCTGCCAGTCTGGCTCGTCCAGGCCGGACACGGCGCAGCGGGCCCGCACGGCCACGCGGTGGATGCTCTCTGGGCGCAGTCCAGAGATGATCACCGAGAAGCCGATGACCGGATCCGGCTTCTCCTCTGTAATTATGCGGGCAATGTCTATATCCACATCCAGTGCGTCTTGGAGTTTCGGGCTCTCTTTCCCGGAAAAATGCGGCGCATTGGATATGGATTAAGATTTGGCCCCAAAAGGCTCGTTTTTATATATATATATATATAATAATAATAAATATCCAGTGCGCCTCGGCCTTGTGGCGCCCCTTCCGAGAAATTCCAAAACGCACTGGATATGGATAGAAGTTTTGCCCGCACTGTATGGCGGAATTCGGAAACCCTGTGCTGGGCATCGCTCGGACGTCCATGCCCTGTGTTTTCTTCGGTTTCGTGCGTGGCTTCTGTCGCAGGGTGATCCAGGATGCTCCGTAATAATCCCCGCCGAGAAAAAGTGCACACGCCCGAACGATACCAAACGTACCCAAAACCGTTTTCCGCTCTTGGGAGGTCGACGCTTCACTTCCGCCGCCTTCCGCCGAGCTTCCTTTTTTGTTCACAACACGGCGCCCAAGCACGCTCATGACGGACGCTTCGTAAGGGGCCTGGGGTAAAATCCAGCGAGCGAAGAACGGTATAAAATAAACTTTTTCGCTGTCGGGGGCGCCCGTCCCAGGGCGGCTGGAAAGTTTATACCCCTACGGTGCCACCGTAAGGGTATAAACTTACCAGCCGCCCTGGGACGGGCGCCCCCGACAGCGAAAAAGGTTATTGTGTTATTGTATACCGCTCTTCGCCCGTTAAAAAATCCACCGAGCATCGGTGCACGATGTGGCTCTTCAAATCGCGGGGTCGGGCCCAGACAGGAGCGCCAGGAGCAGGACGAGAGCCACGCCGCAGCCCCGCATCCCCGCGCCCCCGCCTCTGCGGAGGCGGCACTGTGAGAGCGGCTCCACGGCCCTGCCTGGGGTCTGGAGGCCACTCCCCGCCGAGCTTCCGCCGGCTTCCGCCGGCGGAGGCGGCCTCGTTCCACTTCCGCCGACCTCCCGCCGCCTTCCGCGGCGGAAGAAATGACAACTCTTTCTGCTCTCGAAGGCAAGGCCTTTTTTTGGAACGCCTCATATGCCGACCCCCATCCCAGGCTTCGGGAGGTCTTCGTCTGGACAAGAATCTGAGTCCCGACCCTGGGAAATACAAGACGGTGCGCCGTCACTCCTCAGTGGGGGTGCGTCCGCATGGCCCCCTTGGGGTGTATCATAAGGTTTACCCCTTATTCTGAGATGGCCGACTTTTCGGGCGGAACTCGGGGATCGGGAGGGAAAATCGCCTGCGATCCTCGTTTTCGGCGATCTCCCAGTTGATCCACGAGGCGGCGTTCTGGGAATACTTCCCCACGATGCGCACCTCCGCGCCCTCGGTGAAGAACTGGTCGAAGCTGAAGTCTGGCTGGTCCTGGATGACGTCCTCGGCCTTGTAGCGCGTCACGATGCCGCAGCCGCCCTCGCTCATGTGAAGGCCGCGCGAGTGCAGCTTCTCCTCTGTGAAATCTTTACTGCCGACCATCAGCACCGACTGCGCCTTGGTGCCGAAGACCGCCGGCTCGGTCGTGACGGAGAGAACGTACTCGATGGTGGACTCGATGTCCTCGTACTGCGGGGGCAGCTTGCACTTGCCCCATGCCACCTGCACGATCGTGGGCTCGTGGCGGGAGAACCTGATCCTGCGGGACGGGAAAATGACCACAGCCACTGCTTCTTGTTTGCGCCGCCTTCCAGCCGGCCGAGAAAGAAGCCGTGGTTGTGGTCATTTCCCTGGTGCCGAGCTCAACGAACATGACCACAACCACTGCTCTGTTGCTGCGGGCCGGAAGGCGGCATCCAAAGAAAAGCAATGGCTGTGGTCGTTTTTACGCCCCGTAGATCCTGGTCTCCGTGGTGAACTCGGGCAGCGGCGCCACCGCGCCCCGCGGCTCCGAGGGCGGCGACCAGAGCGACCAGTGCATGCCGTCCGAGACGCGCACGCGCCACTCGACCACCTTGCCGAAGGTCATACGCTGCCTCGTCTTCTTCTTCTTCGACGACTCGGAGCCCGCGGCGCCGCTCCGGACGCTGGACCGCGCCGAGGCCTGCGAGGCGGAGCCCACGGAGCGCGCCCGGGAGGCCGAGGACGCCCTGGACATCGGCCGCGACCCGTCCATCGAGCCGTCGCTCTCCGCGTCCCGCCCGTCGTAGAACCTGTCCTCCCGGTAAGAGAAGTGCCCGAACAGCAGCTGGTACCAGTCGCTGTGAGGCAGCCTGCAGGCAGCTCAGCGCATCCCCTGACCCGTCCTTGGCCTGCAGGTTTCTGCCCCTCCCCCACCCCTGCTGAAGCCACCTCTGTCAAAACACGGGTCGGGGCCAATGAGGGGCACAAGGGGAGAGGGGGGGGGAACTGGCTGAGGGTGGGGGAACCCCTGGAATCTGCGACGTGTCGCCGATCAATCGGCGGTACAGTCGGCCCGTCTTGGAAGGATGCGCGATAAGGATGCAAGGGCCTTGGACGCACACTTCGAAGCTTTTCGAGCGGGGCGCGGCCCTCGAAAGTGGCGGAGGATGGACCGCGGAGGCAAGGATGCGAGGGTAAGTACCCTTGGGAAGGTTGCCTATCCTTGCTAGGCGGGTTGACTGTAGGTCCCCTGCCGAAGCCGCGCGTTCCCGAGCAGGATGGGGCACCCAGGCCCCGATTGGCATGACATGGGAGACGAATTACAGCTGGCCCGTATCATGAGGATGCGCGGTAAGGGTGCAAGGGCCTCGGAGGCCCCTGTGAACGTCTTTCGAGCGCGGTTGGCCAGCAGAAGTGGCCGAGGATGGGCCGAATGGGCAAAGATGCAGGGGTACACTTGGTTGGGCGCCCGAATTATCCGGGGTAACTCGGGTCCGGGGTAAGTCGGGTTCGGATTCCCGAACGACGAACCCGAGTTCGCCCTGACCCGAGTTACCCCTGATGATTCGGGGCTCTGACTTGGGAAGGCTGCCCACTTCATACCATGCGGGGCGACTGCAAGGATCGATGTGTCCCCCTTGGAGCCAGTTCTCCCGCCGGCGTCCCGGAGTCCAGGGATGTTTCCAGGCGCCCGCACGGCCGGCGGGTGTACTCGGCGATCAGCTCCTCCTCCGTCAGCCGGCCACCGAGCCCGCCCGGCCCGCCCCCGAACGCCTCCAGCTCTTCGCCAGGGAACCCCGACAGATCCTTCTCGTCGTTGTCGTCGTCCCTCTCCTGTCGGGCGTTGGGAGAACTGGGTTTAGTGGGACTCGGTTCAGTGATGCATCTTGGGGGGCGCCCCCGTCCCGCCCCGTTCCACTGACCGGAAGTGCCGTCACCCGGAAAAGCACCGGCTACGGCAAACCTGGTTTAGCGATTCTGGCCACTTTAGGGGCTCCGGGGCCCTACCACTAACCGGGTCCCCTTACCTGAGGTCCTGGCTATACTGAAGCGGCCCAGGGACACACAAAGAAATACACAAAGCCCAGGATTCCCACACATTTTCCCATCTGTTTTGGCCTTTTGCCTTCCCCCCACTTCCCACATTTTCCTACATTGTCTGGGAATCGACTATTATAACTATGTCTGTGCCGATCCTGCACCGTCCGGATGATCTGGTCCCGCACGGGCGGCATCTCGATCCAGCCGGTGATGCGCTCGAAGGCGGGGTCCTGGTGAGCAGGGACCGCCCGTCCCAGCATTCCTATAGTCCTACCACAAAATGTTCTTATGTTCGAATCACCAAAACAATGTTCTTGGATAACCCCGATGTGGTAAGACAAGACATACTCCGCCAGAACTGTTCTAAGAACATGTCGTGGGAACCACAAGAGGTTCTTAGAACGTTGTTTGGTTGGGCTATATGCGAGCCAGGACGCTTCCCCACTGCTTGATCCTGCGTGCGCCCCAGGCGCGTGGAGCGGCCCGCGGAGCTCGCCGAGCCGTTCGACCGCGCCGAGCCGGGCCGCTGCGGCCGGCCCTGGCTGCCCTGCCTGCGCAGCTGCCGCCCGGGCTCCCCCGGCCTGCCCGGCTCGGAGGTGGCGCTCTGCTTGCTCCCGGCCCTGCCCTGTGGAGTGTCGTGTTGCTCCGATCCCCCTCCCCATAGCGGCCTGGCCTGGGCTCAATACTGGCCGACTTGCCCCCCTATATATAGAGATGGGGACATCTAGGTCGTGCCCTTCGGGGCTCGAGGGGGGTGTAATTCCCACCCGGGATGGTAATTCCGGGGAGACCACAAACCGCCATTCCCCAGACCTCTCCCAGGGTGCGTTCTGACCAGGATTCCGAGGCGAATCCAGCGGTGGCGACGAGGGCCGCCCAGGAGGCCCCGCAAGGGGCAAACGAGAGGAGGGTAGAGGTAGTTATATGGGTACCTTTCCCTCCTCTGCCATCTGGTGGGGGTCTCCAGGGGGATGGGGGATGGGGGTGGGGACCCGGTGAAACGATGCCGACCTGTGCCGCAGGCGGGCCCTCGCCGTCGGAGTCGCCGCCCTCGGACTTGGCGTCGGCCTCGGCCTGCTCCTTGGACTCGCCCCGGGCCGCCCTCGAGGCCCGCGAGCCGTTCGAGTCCTTGGACCCGGCCCGCCTCTCATTAGGAGGCAACTGCTGGGAGGTTTTCGCCGGAAGGAGGAAAGTTGGAGGCTTCGAAATGGCCACCAGCACCAACACAGGGGGGTGCGCCCACTGGGGGAGGCTGATCATAGATTTCGGTGTCGGTGGCAATACTTCGGCCGCCTAGGAAGCCAGAATATTACCACCATCACCGATATCGGGATCATCTCCCCTCGGTGGAGGCACACCGCCGATTTTGGTGTTGGTGTCAACCTCTGGGCCTGCCATAAAGAGGATGAAGCCCCATGGGGGGGGCTGTTACGCCGGAGTGGGCCTCGGATTATAAGCCGGATGAAGCCAGATTGGGCGGGCTTTAAGCCGGATTGAGCGGGATTAAGCCGGACTTCGGACCAGGGCAACATCAGAACTTGACCTCCCAGGAGTTGCATCCGAATCGCCTCTTGGGCCTGCCGCGCTTCTTCAGTATCCGGAAGGCGAACTGGTGCCGGACCACGCCCTCCCAGGCGGACCACTTGAGCCACGCGGCGACGTTGCGGTGGCGCGGGACGCGCTCCAGCCGGAACTCGGGGGCGCCGGTGGGCGGGGCGACCCTCGTGCGCACGGGGGCCGAGGCCGCGCTGAAGTGCAGCGGCGTGGGGATGACGGACAGCTCCTCTGGGGAGACAAAGAGGTACCGATGCTGCTTCTCCCCGGGCCTCTCCCGGGGTGCGTTGTGGCCAGAATCTCGAGGCGCATCCAGCGGCGGGGACGAGGGCCTCCCAGGAGGCCCGAGAAGGGGGAAACGGGCGAAGGGCAGAGGTATGGGTGCCTTTTCCTCTGATCCTCGGGGAGCGCCCTGTAGCGCCACCGCAGGCGCACGAACGGCGGCTGGTCCCCCGCCGCCGTGCTGTCCCTGCGCCCGGCGTCCTCCCTGCTCCTGGCCAGGAACCCGCTCACGATGAGGCTCGGGACCCACCGGGGGTTGCCCAGCTCCTCCTCGGGCAGCTCCTGTGGAGGAAAGAGAACTATGCACACACGCGCACACGCCGATTCTGGCCAGGCCCATCCTGAGCCCAGGATCGGTGCATACGCCCTCCCACCTTGGCTGTGAAGGTATGTGCACGGATCCTGGGTCGCCAGGATGGGCCTTGCCAGGATCGGTGCGTGTGCATAGAGTTCCCTCCGCTCGATCGAATCCTGCAGCACCTCGCCCAGCTCGAAGTTGATGAAGTAGAGCTGCATCGCCCTCGCCTCGCGCCAGGGGCCGAGGGGCCTGCCGAGGGTCGTCTCGCCATCCACGGGCCGGCTCTGCGCCGTGGCGTCCACCAGCGAGGGCCGGTCGTCGGTGACCGCGAACTCCAGGGAGTAGTTCGCGCTGCGCAGCGCCGCCATGGGGCTGCCTCGGACTGTCCAGGGCCACCTTGCTGCGGCAACCCACGCGTGGGCCTCTCCCATAGCCAGCAGAGCTCGCCGGGCCCGAGGGCCGTCAACAAAAACGACTCGGGACGAAGAACCGGTCCCAGGGAAGGGGTCAGGACCTCCAGGGACCCCGCATTGAAAAAATCACGACGTCGGATCTCTGGGTACATTCTTGCTGGCTCTTGCGCATCGACGCGGATCAACGCGAAATGCGAATCGGCGCCAGATCGACGCTAATCGACGCTGGTCGGCGTCAGTCGAAGCCGACTCGGCGCGATCTGGTCAATCACCAGGCGCTACTCGACGCTAGTCGCTCATGCATTCTAGAAACGCGTAATATTTTTGTTCATGAGGTGGACCCCTGGAGGTGTCGCCCAATTGCCCAGGACCGTTTTACATCCTGAGCCGTTGTTCTCGGTATTCGGGCCTGGCGAGGGCCCCTGGAAGCCGAAACCAGCGCAGAACCTCCCGTCGTGATTTTTGTCATGACCCGAGGGGGTCTAGGTATGAGGGTCTACAGTCAACCCGTATAGTAAGGATGTGCGATAAGGACGCAGGGGCCTTGGAGGGCCATTCCGAAGCTTTGCGAAAGGGGCGCGGCCAGCGACAGCGGCCAAGGATGGGCCGAGGAGGGAAGGGTGTAAGGGTACCCTTGGGGGAAGATGGCCCATCCTTGCTATCGGGTTGACTGTATGAGCCTCCCAGGATTTGCGACCGAGCCACCTCACCACCACGAGGTTGGTGGCGCCGATGGCCAGCTGCTGGCTGAGCTTGGCGGCCTGCGGCGTGGGCAGGTCGCAGATCGGCAGCGTCTCTGGCGCGCTCGGCGGCGGCACCCTGCCCACGGCCCACTCGCCCGAGCACAGCAGGGGCGTCCACCACCAGATGGCGCTCAACGTCTCGAAGCGCGCCTCGACCGTGCAGTGGAAGCGGCGGTCGGGGAGCATCCCAGGGATGTCCCACGAGATTCTCTCCAGCTTGTCGTCCGGGCCGTTGGCGGGGTTGTCTGGCACGTCGTACTGGCGGTAGAGCACTGGCTCGATGTCCTCGTGGCCAGTCTGGCTGAGCACAGACAAGCGCGAGCTCCTCTGGCCGCTGATCTGCCTGATGATTGACATTCGTTGATTCTGCATGTGCACGCCCGTGGGCAACTCAGTCATTGGCGCGGCGTCGGGGGCGCTCCCGTTCAGCCAGACGTTCAGCCGATAGCGTAAGGCTGGCAGTGCCAAAGGCGGCAACTGGCCAGTGGCCAAGATCTCCTTGAGGGCCGGCTCCTTGTCGGGGTCCAACCGCCAGCAGCACGCAGCCGGCAAGCTCGGCCAGCAGGCCACGAACTGACTCAGCTGCGCATTGGCCTCTGCGTCCAGCTTCCCCAGTGCCTTCTCGAACGCCTCCGGGGGCCGCGGAGCAGGCCCGATGGAGACCCACTGCGGGGGCTCGAGCTCTCTGGTACCCTCCTGTCAAGGGGCCCAAGGACACGCAAATAAGTAGACAACAAATCGCAGGATTCCCAATACCCTCCCATAGTTCCTGGGTCGTCGTCTTCCCCCCCCCCCACACTTCCCACATTTTTCCATCTATTTCTTTTGGGGTGGGGAATCGGCGATTCATTATTAGGGGAACAAGAAAAGACATAAATATAAAAACTCGGAGGTCCGCGCGGATTTCTCGGATCGGCGCTGGGGCCCCCCGGCGGCGCCTCCGGCGCCTCCCCTGGCGCGCTCCGCGCGCCACGGAGGGGGGTCCAGCGCCGATCCGAGAAATCCGCGCGGACCCCCGAGTTTTTATGTTTATGCCACTTTTTGTTCCCCTATCATTGTGTCTGTGTGTGTGTTTCTTCCCTCCTGTGGGGGGGAATCGGCGATTCATTGTGTCTGTGTGTGTGCTTCTTCCTTCCTGAGGCCCCTCCTTCAGTCTCTCCTCCCTTTTGTTAATCGAAGCTGTGCGCGGCCCGCCTAGCTTCGACCGGAAGAGGTGCGCCCTCGACCCGCGGATCAAAAGGTGTTTCTTCCCTCCATGCTCCTGGTAGACCAGGCTGTCCTCCAGCTCGGCCTCCGGGTCCGGGGCCGCGGCCGGGCACACCGTGCCCTCGGCGGGCGCGAGCAGCGCCGCGAGCTCCCGCAGGTCGAGGGCGGCGCCGCCCGAGACCCGCGGCTCCGAGGCGAAGCAGCAGAGCTCGGAGGGCTCGGACCAGGCGCTCCTCGAGGAGCCCAGGGACACGCAGAGAAATGCACGCACATATGACGTGATCCCCCATATTTCCCAAGTTGTTCTGGGCTTTGGTCTCCCCCCCGCTTCCCATAATTCCCCTTATCCTTTCCTGCAAGTCGACGATTCATCGTGTCTGTGGAATCAATATGTTCTGGTTTTTTGTCTTCCTCCCACTTCCCATGTTTTCCCATCCTTTCCTGCAAGTCGACGATTCATCGTGTCTGTGTGTGTGTGTGTCTTGCCCTCCGGAGCTCCAGCGGTACCCGTCGCCGATGCGGACGGAGAACTCGTAGGTGAGCACGCCCGGGTCCGGGGGCTTGCCCGTGGGCAGCCGCGGCAGCGGGTGCGGCGGCAGGCCCTCGTGCTCGCCGGTGGCGTCCAGCAGGGCGCAGTGGTCGAAGGCGAATAGCTCGGCCGCGCTGCCGGCGGGCAGCCGCACGGGTGCCGCGGTGCGCCGCACGGCGTCCTCCCGCCAGGCCTCGCCGCCCTGCCAGAGGGGTCGCCGCATGCGGATCTGGTGGACGTGCTCGGACATGTCCACGTTCTTGTCCTCCTCGCCGGCCGTCGCCTGGCAGCACGGCCACCACAGGACCGCGAGCGGCTGCTCTGCGGCGAACCACGCGGCCACGGTGGGTGCCGCCGAAGGCGCCGGCATGTAGAGCCGCATGGGTACCGAGGGCGACGAGAAGAGCTGCATGCCCTCTGGGCCGCCCTCTCGCACCACCCGCACGCGCACCATGTGCCCCAGCGACGAGCAACGCTCCACCTGCTTCCAGACGCTGTCCGCGAAGCCCTGGACGAGTGCGAGCGTGGCGCCTCCGCTGCCCTTCGTGCCAGCGGGTGTGCCGTCCTCATCGAGGTACTCGACCGTCTCTGGCTGGTGCCAGTGGACATCGACGTCCTCGTCTGCCCCTGCGCTCGGGTGCCTGGCCGCGTTCGCCCGCGGCTCGTATGCGGTGTACTCTATGCGGTGCGGCCACTTAGCGGCCTCTTGAGGGGCAACGAGAGGAGGTAGCTGGCGCAGGGGGGGAACATCGATCTTGAATCGGCGATGCATCGCCGATAGATCGGCGCGAGGCCCTCGATGTCAAATCCGCCCGTTCCTGGGAGGGGTGGGGCTATCAGACCCCATATCGGCGATCGATGGCCGGGGTCGATACTCGAGGAGACGTGCGACTGGGGTTCGGGCGACTCGGGTTGGCCTGACAGGGCCGGCATGACAATGACGAGACACAGTCTGAAATTGGACGCGAACTCCCGCTACAAACATCCCACGAGAACTGAAATGCCAAACTCCATAACGCGCTCGTCAAACAGCGTCGGCAAACCCGAGTTCCGGCGCACTCGAGTCTGACGGTCCCCCGAGATACACGTTACCCCCCAAGCCTATCTAGAAGAAGAAACAACGGCGTAAACATAAACTTTTGGCGCTCCGCGCGGATTTCTTGGCTCCGCGCTGGACCCTTCTCCATGGCGCGCGGAGCGCGCCAGGGGCGGCGCCAGAGGCGCCGCCAGGGGGCCCCAGCGCGGATCCAAGAAATCCATGCGGAGCGCCAAAAATCTATGCTTATGCCGTTTTTCGGCGATGGGCAAACCTCCCTGTAGTAAAACACCCTTCATTGAAAACGACCCAGGACCGAAACCAACGGACCTGGACCCGCACAAGAATGACGACTGCGACGCCCCCTCGCGGACCGAAAACTGCCAATTCGCTAATCGACGTGTCAGGGCAGGAGATCTATCAACCTCCGACGAGCCTTCTGCGGCATCTTCGGGGGGCCTCGTCTGCCCCGTCGCGCCCCTATACCCGCGTCGAGTCCGTGCCGAGTCCAGGCCGGATCCGTCGACTCCGCGTCGCATCCACGCCAAATCCGCACCGAGCCCGCACGGGGTCCGCGTGGGGCACCAAACAAGACACAACTACCAAACAGGACGCAACTTTTGGGGGGGACGTGCGCCGCCAGAATATGACCATATCCACTGCCGCCGAGCCGTGCTCCGAGGACTCGGGGAGCGGTATGGATATGTATCTGCCCACCGGCGCGGGCGGGCAGATGTTGAGGTGTTGGCCTGCAGGGACCTTCGAGACGGCGGCCCGAAGCCCTCGCGCTGGCCGAGAGGCTCTCTGTCTCTTCGCTTTCAAAAGAGCGTATCGGAGGGCCGGCCGGAGGGAGCGGCGACGACCCCCCCTCCCCGAGCGCGGCCCGTGGCCTCTTGAGCAGGGGCCAACCGTCCCGGCATTCCTATAGTCCTACCACGAAATGTTCTAAGAACCCCAAACTTTTCTGATAGCAAAAACAATGCTCCTAGATCATAAGCCCGATGTGTTGAAATAAGCAAGACAATCTCCGCCAGAAATGTTCTAAGAACAATTCGTGGGAGCCACAACAAAAGTTCTTAGAACATTGTTTGGTGGGGCTATAGTCGGAGCGTGAACCTAAGGAACCCTAAATAGGAACAAGGCCCCTCTTTTCCATAAGTTAACCTTCGATTTCCGATCGAAAACATAAGGCAAACCTGAGGCAAGCTGTGAAACACTTGAGGAACGCGGAGCCCCTCCCCAACGAAAAGAGTTCCTTCTTCGGGGCCCCGGCTGTATAGGCGGGCCGGGACGCTTCGCCACTGCTTGACCCGTGGCCTCGCGGTCCTCGCGCCAGGGCGAGAACAGCAGCAGCAGCCGGCTCGAGGGCTGCGCCAGCCCGAGGCGCGCGCAGGCCGCCTCCGGCAGCGCCAGCGGGAAGGGCGCGCGCAGGCCGCCGGAGCCCCCGGGCACCACCTCCAGGGGCACCTGGGCGAGGAGGGGGAGGAGGAGGAGGAGGAGGAGGAGGAGGAGGAGGAGGAGGAGGAGGAGGAGGAGGAGGAGGAGGAGGAGGAGGAGGAGGGGGAGGAGGAGGGGAGGGGGAGGAGGAGGCGCCGCATCGGCAGGCTGCCCCGCGACCGCGGGGGGGTCCCAAGAATGTCTCCCCCGAGCAGTCCGCGGAGAGTCGGTCCGCCAGTTATGAAGGGGCCCAGGGACGCACACAAACGAATAGACACAAACCCAGGGTTCCCCATCGTCTCCCACATCTTTTCCGGGCTCTCTCGTCTTCCCCCCCCCGCTCCCCATAGGTTCCCGCATCTTCCCGGGAATCGACGATGAGTTGTGTCTGTGCGTTCGAATGCAAAGGGTCTCGCGCGAGATGGCACGGCGACCTTGCGCGGTGTCTCACGCGGCCCGC